ACTATATTTCTGTTGACCCGTTCCGCTATATTTGATTGCGGCCGATACGGGACCATTTTTAAATGACGTATGCCCAGTTTTTGGCACATGTCTTCAAATATATTACTTACAAATTGAGGACCATTATCCGATATAACTTTTAGGGGCGCCCCGTATTTTAAAATATATTTATTTAAAATAGAATCGGTAACTAATTTCGCGGAGGCTCGTTTTAAGGGAACAATTTCGGTCCATTTACTAAAATGATCAACTATAACAAGGAGATAGCGACTTTTGTTTAACTGACTTTTTGGGAAAGGGCCCAATAAATCGATGCCAATTATTTCATTTGGAAATTCGGATTTAATACTATTTAGAAACCCGGCCGGGCGGAAATTAATATAATTAACGGCTTGACATGTTGGGCAGGACTGGACATACGCCCTTGTTAACTTTTGCAGTTCAGGAAAGTAGACTGCCTCGCGTACGCGTTGAGATAGTTTTTCGAATACCAGCATGAGAAGCTAAAGGGCTGTCATGGAGCTCTTGCAGGATATTTAATCTAAGACTAGCTGGGATAACAGGTCGAAATTCGTTGTTGGAATTCGTAGTTTTTGTATAAAAATAATAGACCATCTATTAGTTCGTAATGGGCCGCCCTATTTCTTATCGCCACAATATCTTGGTGGCTAAAATTTTCAGGATCCTTCAAATACTCATAAATACTTCCAAACTCAGGATCCTTACCCAGTTCGGTTATTACAGTTTCTCGGGAATTTATTGTACACGCTGTCAGCATTGCAACTTTACGGTATTACCCTGTTCGTCTAATTTAATTCGTGATAGGGCATCTGCTACGATATTTTCCTTTCCGGGGGTATGCTTGATTACCAGATTATATTCTTGCAGCTTGAGTGCCCATCTTATTAACCTTGGGGATAAATTTTTCCCTGAGTACAATCTAGTTACCGCCGCATGATCAGAATATACTGTTATCGGCGCCTTTCCAAAATAGACTCGGAACTTTTGCACTGCTAACAGAACTGCAAGTGCCTCTCTCTCGGTCGCGGAATAGTTTCTTTGTGTTTGATTTAAAGTTCGGCTAAAAAATGCCACTGGGCTGCTGATTTTGCGAAAGTACCGCTCCTACCGCATAATCCGAAGCATCCGCTGAAATTTCTAAATTTTCATCCTTTTCAGGAAATTTCAACACAGGGGCTTGCGTTAATGCTTGTTTTAATTTTTCGAAAGCACTATTGGCTTCGGCCGCCGTCCACGAGAATCTTGCCTTTTTCCTTTTTAATTTTAACAATGGCTCAGCGATAGCCGCAAAATCTTTTATAAAGGACCTATAATATGAACAAAGTCCTAGAAAAGAAGAGAGCTTCTTTGCCGTGTTTGGAGTCGGATACTTTTGTACAGCGATTATTTTTGATTCATCTGTCTCGATCCCTTTTTGCGATATTTTGTAACCTAAATATTTTAATTCAGGGGCTGCAAATTTGCACTTTTTCGACATTAACTTTTAGACCGGCCTCATTTAATAAAGAAAACACCTGTCTTAAATCCTGTACATGTTGGTCGAGATTATCACTAGTAATAATGATATCGTCTAAATAGATAAATGTGGACTTTCCGAGAACAGGTCTTAACACAATGTCCATGCATCGCTGAAATGTTGCTGGGGCGCCTGAAAGGCCAAACGGCATACGCAAAAATGCATAAGTGCCAGACTTGGTTATAAAAGCAGTCTTAGGCACGTCCTCAGGCCTGATCCCCTATTTGAAAATAACCATTCGTTAAGTCTAAAGTCGTCATAAATTTGGTTGATTTTATGTTCCTTAAAATTTCTTCTATAATCGGTAACGGATATACCGGATATTTCGTTATGGAATTTAATTTACGGTAATCAATAGCGAATCTCCACCTTTTTGGATGCTCCAAAGGATAATCATTATTTTTCTTACATAAAACCACCGGACTAGCATAACTACTTGAGATAGGGCGTTATGATCTTTTTACGTAGCATATCGGTAATATGCCATTCTATAATTTTTTCCTTATTCTTATCATACCGGTATGGTTTTTGACGAACCGGCAATGCATCTCCGGTGTCAATACTATGGTTAGTAACCTGAGTAAATCCTGGAATATCACTAAATAAGGAAGCAAATTCACTTACCACTTGTCGGATTCTATCTTGCTCGTCATTAGGCAGGTGGTCAAGATTTAACCTTGGCGGTTCAACCTTTTCTACACGCACTGGTTTCATCGTCAGCTTAAGAGGACGCTTCATTAAAATCCAGTGTAGCTTGTGCGTCTGAAAGAAAGTCTATTCCTAGGATTAAGTGTGCTTGCAAATTCTTTACTATAAAAAACATCACCTTTACTTGTTCGTCCTTGATACGGATGTACAAAGGTACTTTACCTACGCACTTACATTGTTCTCCTTGCGCCGCTAATACTGTTGTATTATCCGCATTATATATGCGGTATTTGCGAAAATACTTTCTAAAAAAGACTTCTGCCACACAGGAACACTGCGCGCCGGTATCCAGGAGTGCGGTGGCCGGGATATTATTTACCAAGACTTCAATCTTCGGAAGAGTCAAATTTTTTCACCATTACTGTATTTAACTTGTAGGAAGAGGGGTTTTCGTGGCCTTCGGATTTCCGCACCCTCTCGTCAGCAGAAATCCGTTTTAGTTTAAATTATTTTTCCTTTCGGTGCTTTCCTTCTTTCTCCACTGGCCTTGAGACTTTTTTCCTGGGTTGCTATTGAACTGTCGACGTTCGCCGGCTGTTTTTGAATGCTCGGGTTTCCTTGCCCACTGATTCGCTTTTTCTCCGTAGCCATGTGCTTGAGTTTGCTGTAGTCTTGGCGTACCAAATTGGTTTCGCTGTTGATATTGGCGTCTTCTTTCGACGTCCGCCGTTCTTCTACTTTCAAACTGGATTGCTAGCTCAAATAACTTTTCCAGTGTGTAGTCGGATTTCTCAATTCAATAAAGTCTTGCACTTGGGGTAGTAACCTCGGCAAAATCACTTGAATTATTTCAGGATCCGGACGGTTTCCATACAAGAGCTTGAAAACGTGAATTTTTCTTAAAATAAAGCTCGAGAGGTTTTCGATTCTTTGTTGATATATACTGAAAAGTTCTGTTTCTAATTTCGCACGATCCCTTACAACAGGGAAGGCTTTTAGTAGGGCAGTCTTGAAATTTTCGTAAGTATAGGTGGGACTTCCTGCTTGACCCAAGAGACTTCTGCCGATACATTTGAACCAGTTAAGCGCTTGGCCCCTCAAAGCGCTGGTAGCTAAGGTAACTTTTTGAAACTCGTGCACGGGGTAGAGCATGAAGTGGTCATCCAATTTTTCCAAAAAACTGGTTACCTGTGAGTTTCCATTAAACGTTGCTTCTGGTTTCATCGAAGCGCGCATGGTCTGGACAATATACCCAAATCCTTCCAGGGCGGCAGCTGGCATTTCTGGATTCTGAGCTGTTTTCTGCAGGCAGCACAGGTTCTTCTTGAAACTCGGCCATGGTTATTCTTCGTCGGGCGCCACTATCAGGTTCAATGTTTCTTCTAACCTTCTTCGGAAACATACAATGACCTGACTCGGAACAGAGAGCTTACTAAAGCTATGTTCACTAATTGTAGTAAGTAGACAGGATACAGACGAAGGGTATACAAAACCCTTTATTTTTTCTTTATATACAATGACTTCCGTACTTCGGAATACAATGACCCTCCACTCGGGGTCTAACTTAAAAGATATCAAAATAAAACTAAACTCTAATTTAACTTTAGAATAAGATTGGCCTTATAATAACAGGAAGCGTATGTAGCACAGAGACTGTGAACACTACAATACGTTTAATTTATCAAGAGGATTAAAACCTCTGGCCTGGAAGGCAAAAGTAGCAACTGCGTAACTTCTAAGGTAAGCGGCCTGCTTCGAACTCACGGCTTCCTCTCTTCTGCTTGGCAAAAAGGCCACACTTAAATACTTGGCGTTCGCCAGACAAACTTTGCATAAAAACTCCTTCACGCTTATAATTCTGGCCGGAAGTAGAAAATAAGAAGTGATAGTAAAGATTTAAAATAAAATAAACGTTAGTAAAACTTAAGATCCTTACATCATTATTCTAAAAATAGGAAGAGAAATAAGGAATGGAAATCGCTTTTGATCCAAAAACCTGTCTTCCTTTTTCACGATTTTTCGATGGCAAATAGCGTTGACATATTTTTGATGAAAGTATAAAATTTACGAACAAAATTCAAATAAAAATACACGCATTATACAAAATACAAATATTTGAGAAAAAAATATTTTCCGAATTTTCACCCGCGACCACGCGCGTGTCGTAACTTTTACGAAAAGTCTGCAACGTGGCACAAAAGCCCAGTAAAGAAAAGGCAAATGACTTCCTGTTGGCACATTCCATGATGTGGGGAAGTGTAGAAAGGACTAATAGAAATGGCCTTCAGACGTCTCAGCTTCGATATGCGAAAAATGTGCATTAAAAACTGAATTTGTCGTAAATTTTGCGCATACGTGCGTGCCGGAAGGTTAAGAAAGTATAGATTTCGTAGTATTCAATGATAGCATTTCTGCACCACATTAAAGTCGAAGTTACGTAAATCAAATCATGTATATCAGAAATTCACAGTAATTAAGCTCCCAGTAACCAGGCTGGACTTATTAATTAGTAACTTAATTTAATAAGTCCAGCCGAAAAAAACCTTCGTTTATTATTAGCTGGAAACACCGTCCTCTTTCATCGGCTTACCAACATCACACTCTGCGCATGATTCTCGAGTTTCGTATGGATGATCCCCTTGTCTTAGGGAATTGTCTGATTAGACGAAAATATTGAAGAACTTAGTTTTATTCTAAACTGGAAATTAAGAAACACAAAATATGCACTTTTGAAGACTGAGTTTAAAATTTCCTAATTTTTTTTTAAAAGTGTGTTAAATTGTTTCAAACTGTTGCTTTTTTTTTTTCTAAATAGGTGTACACTATCATCTCGAATATGAAATCTTTTGCGGGAACTATACGTCACCAGTAGTATTCACCACACCTTTTCGTTCCACTGATATTCATCTCACTGGCTTATTTGATAAACCCTTCCGTGGTATTCATGGAACCTATTACGTTAACAGTGAGTACACTTTTCCATATGTATTTTTGGTTGTTTTATTAACTCTGTTTTTAAGTTACAAATGTCTTTAGCAAAGTCTGCTATACTCTACTACAAGTTACTTTTTTTTTTTTTTACAAAAGATTGCCACCGTAGCGATGCTGCTTTTGTATACAATGATGATTGAAATCCCATGAAGCTAATAGACTTCTGTTACTAATCCCATAAGCTAACAGCATTCCGTTAACAACTAATAACCTTCACCGTTACTAATGGCTAGGCGACCAGGGGATTGATGATTAAGGAATCCCTTAAGTCAATAATAATCACTGGCTTTCACGGTTAATAATAAGCAAGGGTTTGACGATTAAAGGTGATACTACGTTTATGTCAAAGGCGCCTTTCACTTGCATTTAATTTTAACAATTATCTATATTTACTGCATTTTCCTGCGCTGGTGATTGAAAAATCATTAGGTTTTCAATAACCAGTAGCCTTGACGGTTACTGGCGTTCATTGGTTTATTTCATTAAAGACATGGTTGTTCTTCAATTTCATTTAATTCTCACCATTTGTCTAAATTCACTGCACTGTCCCATGTCAGTTACTGTATAACTTGACAATTATAAGTCCATAATTCATTGCTAAATTATGCGTAGATCACCAGTGACCAACAGCTTTGATGAGCTCTGTTGCCCTTCAGTTTAACTGTATTTTTACAATTTATCCCAACTTACTCCACTTTCTCAAGCTAACACTATGCTACCTCCAGTGACCGAATGTAGATTTCCGGAGACAATCTTGAATATTTTGTTTTTATTTTATTTCAAATATGTGTCTAATTTTACTTTTCTATCCTATATCGGTATTCCAGCCGTTGATAGAGTGCTGCAGTAACTGTCATCTCCTATGTTACTAACCACGTCTTTCATGATTGATGATTTTTAGTTGTAGTTCACTGTTGTACATTTTAAGTGGCAATAAGCCAAAATGTTAGTAAATTATTTCGAAATAGATGTTTTGATTATTGCTTCGCAGAAACTCTGAAGAAAAAGAATATTAAGAGTTGATTCTCGTGTGCCTTAATAACCTAAAATAAAAGACTGACGTCGCCTCACTCATGTATAGCAAAACATAAGAACGAGTAATATCTTTCCCTGTGAAACACGTATTTATTCCGAACTTTACTATTGTAATAGAAAATTAGATACACGCTTGGTCACAAGGAACCTACATAACACCAGTCACAAAATAACATTCACGAGTTCGTCATAGAAGAAATCAAAGGAAGTAAAATCTTGAGACTTCGCCTGTCACTGATTAAATTTCAAAGTCATGCTTGCAGAAAACTATAGTACTTAGAAGGAATAAAATATGTCTAGCGATTTTTTTAAACAAAATGCTCTGCTTCGTTGATCAAGTTCACAGGTATAAAAATAAGCTATTATATGAAGAAGCACGAAGGCTTACAGAAGTTGCAGTCTTCATTCACGCGTGCGAACGTACTAAAATACAAGAAAGAAGGAGCGAACGCGAATGCAAATAGAACTTCTTGCTGGTCTGTTGCGCGAATCACAATTTCACCAGCTCAGATGAAATGTGGGTCCTTCGGATTTTGACTTTGGGGACGTGGGGATAGAAACTTTAAAAGATGAAAGGAAAAGTGTGACTCTTTGTCACGGTGTCTGAAAACTTGTAAGAGAGGAAAGTGGTCTCTGAAAGGCAGTCAAGATCGTCTGGTGGAAGGGAGAAACCGCAGGCGTCATGTCACCGTCGTTGAAAACTAGCGAGGTATTCTACTAGAAGCTTAGCGATTAATTCCGGTCTGATCCATGGAAGATTGGACCAGTGAGGATGTTTTGCATGTCAGTGACAGAGGGACAAGAGGAAGAATTACATATTACAGAGTGCCTACGGTTCAAAACCGTTTACCTCCACATAAAAAAATCTTAAAAGTGAGGAAAACTATATGAGAAAGGTTAGATATAGGCAAAATAATTACAATTTCTGCTTCGTCGATCAAGTTCACTATAAAAATAAGCTGTTATATGAAGAAGAACGAAGGCTTACGGAAGTTGCAGCCTTCATTCACGCTTGCGAACGTACTAAAATACGAGGAAGAAGGAGCGAACGCGAATGCGAATCGAACACTTAGTTTCAAGATTTAAAATATTTTTGGTGTTTTATGTGAATGCGAATAGAACACTTATTTTCAAGATTTAAAATATTTTTTGTGTTTTAAATTTTATATATACATATTTTATATTGAGGATCTGTAGATGTGCAAGATAGCAATGATAGCATTTTTAGTTTGCAGCAGGAGTTCCGAGAGTGGCTCCCAGTCTCGGCGGCGCGGTTGCAAGAACTGAAGGGACGGAACTACGGCACTGCCTCTTTGCAGTCTGGCGGATACTGTACTCTCGTAGAATGATGGAGCGAGATCTTTTTAAGAGCTGCGAATAGCAGAACCATATGCAGATAGTTGTTATAATTCGCGGTTATCAATCTATTCAAATTTGGTAAACAAATTTTGATTTTTTTAATTAAAATATCAGTGGGTTTGTTGCGTTTAGTACTAAACGGAGAGTTTTACTTTGAAAGATTTGAATTGTATTGACATGAGTTTTGCTGCAGTAATCTAATTGGTACACGCGTATATAAAAATTTATCTGATAATAGCTGTGTAGAGTTGCGAATAGATGGCTCTTTCTGGCTAAAAGGGGAATAATTGCGATGTGACAGCTTTCATTTTATTGAGTGCAGAATCAATGTGAAGGTGCCAGTATAATTTTGAATTAAGTATCGTTCCTAGATACTTGTATGAGTTTGATCAGGGAACATATGCATAGAAAAACCTTCAAATTAATGGAAGGAGGTGAGAGGGAAGAAAGCATGGCAGCACATTTAGCGACTTTAACTTTGGTTTGCCTAGTAAGGAGCAAGTGTTCAAGGCAAAGGAAATAACTTTGAATATTGTGTAGCAGGCGTTTCAAGTGTTTATATTGTAAGAGAAAGGCCGTGTCATCCGCATAACGTGCCAGAGTGACACTAAGTGTTTTTCGAAAGTCGTTGATGAAAATGTTGAACAGGGTAGGACCAGAAATTACGTCTGTGGCCAAGATTTACCTTGATTTAAATATCCATTGAAATCCTCATTATCGTGCACTGATGACCTGTTGGTTGAGCTCTTGAAATAACTTTCAATATCTTAATTTTAAAATACATCTAAATTTAATACATTATCCCAGGCGAATGAATGATTTATTGGTTAATTCTCAGCAACCATCCATTTTGAAAGGAGACCCATATAAAATATTTCTGCCAGCCAAGGGAGTGTGGAGAAAAGTGAATTGTTATAAAATAAACAATGAATGAGCTTGACAAAGCACTTCTTATGAGCTTCATTCGTGTTGTGATAGCTTTCCTTCATTGGCTTACACGTTTTCTGAATGTTCATTCATCCTAAATCACAACGTTTAAGAGCAGTTTGTATACTTCTTCGCATCGTCGTTTCTTATTTTGAGTGGCGGATACTTAAAGAAGAAACTATGATAGTACAGGCAGTAACTCCATTTATGCATGAAGGAGAATTTTACTGCTTTTCATGAATTATCAATCGTTTTTTTCCCACCTTTCAGAAAGGGAGTTTTATAGGAGTATTATTTGCAAATACAAAATATAATATTTTCCCAAAATATAATATTTTTCCCAAGCAGCAAAATATGTAATTAGTAGAATGCTTTACAAGAAACTTTTACTTTTTTAATCAAGCCCTATATCTGTTCAAAAGTCAGTCGACGTAGCCAAGTAACAAGCATTATGACATTATCTAAGCTCGCAAATTCGTTCTTGAATACCTTCTTGAAGCAAATGTATTGAACATTTCATATTAAAATTCCTCTACATTAAACACGTCTTTGGGTACTTTAAGTTTTGAATTCTAAGGGATTGTTGTGACAGAAGACAAGTTTTGGACTTTTGATCCATTGGGATCAAATTAAAAGTTATATTTTTTACTTACAGAATCTACATATCGACGTGTTGTAACGCTTTACTTAAAATTTTTTTGAAAAGGTAGGTGACTGAGAGCAATTGCTGAAAAATATGCGGCAATTACTCTCAGTTTCACTAGCAATGAGATACATTCCGATGACCTCATTGATCACGTGACTTGTGTATACCTTTTGTAAACAAACAATGCAGATACCCTCAGAAATCACGTGACTTATGTACAGCTAATGCTAATAAGCAACGTCATTCTTCCTCTTCTTTTCTTGCAGAATGTATCTCATTGCAATTTAATTAAATACTATTATAGCTTCTCTTTGATTTATCTTATATATATTAGCTCACTTTAAAATATTAGGCAAATGAGAAGCATGCACAAGAAGTAGGATGATTAGGAATAGAAACTGCGGTTCGTGCCCAATGTGCAAGAACATTTTTATTAGGAATGATTACTCGCACAGAAGCAGCAGGGCTAGTCTGACGCTGTTCAAGTCCTAATGACGTATTTAGCGATCCTTGAACACCTTTATAATTGGCTAAATAACGCCCAAAGCTGTGTATCTTGTTTTAAGAAACTTCTGCTATGATTCATTTGCGAGACATTAATATAAAAAAATGTCACATTTTTTAAAAGTGTCCATTTGCGATACATTAATATCGAAACGTGCCACATCATCAGTGTCACACAGTTTTTTTTTTAGTCTTTTCTCTTTAGCTGAAAGCAACAAATCAAATAAAAATTTCGTGGAAGTTCAACTATGTACTTTTATATTCAGTGAAAGCAATAAATCGTTGAAAATTTATCAAATAATTCACACACTATTAGGTGAAATTAGTTTAAAGGAATTATAAAGTACTACAGTTCTAATATATAAAAAAATCAATATTACAGTCCCCTTTTTCGAACATACTGCTACTGAATATTATATAGTTAATCAATAAATTTCACTTTAGACTGCGGTGGGATCATCATTGCAGACAGTAATGCAAACATTACTTCACCCGGGTATCCAGACGGTTACCCACCCAATATGGATTGTCACTGGATCATACTGCCAGGCCGTGGACAGGTAATAACGGTAAGTTTAAATTACTTTTTATCTTGACTTTGCCTATTCAAAATACAAAATATCTGCTCTGTCTAATTTACTTTCGGTTAGCAACGCAGAAGACTTAGTAATTTGCAATATATCCATTTGAAAGATTGGCTTTTCATTGCAAACAGAGTAATTTGGTCTTTAATAGCAATATTCATTAAAATGTGCATTGCGATCTCCGAGATTCATATTCGGCACCTTCCAATTGCTAACCGGACATGCTTTCTAATTACTCCATAATGGCACGTCGCAAGAAGGGAGAAAATATTTTACCTTCTCTCCAGACTAAAGTGCTAAAGGGGAGGCGGGGACCCAATCGCAGAAACTTGCTAAAAAAATTATCGTTCACCACACTTTAGGCCGAACCCAATTTGTAGAACGATTAGATTTTTCATAGCAAGATTCGTGAGAAATTAGAATTATATCACCGGAATTTGAATCCTGATCTTCCGATTGCTAACCGGATATGTGCTCTAATTACATCCCGAAGGTGCTTAGTAAGGAGGGAGAAAATACCTGACAAATCCTCGAAACTTACTATGATCATATTCTTTCTAAACTTAACGGTCACGTTATGAAACTAAGTCACGATATATGTAATCATATTTAAAATGTTTGGAACATTTAAACAGCTATGCTCTTCCCATTAAGTGACACTCTTTGTTATTCGCATGGGTTTTTCACATAGATGTATATCATGATGCATAAAAATTTAAGGGGGTTCAAACTTTCAAAATCATTCGCATCAGGAAAATTATAGTTATTAGATTTATGTTGTGTGACAACTTGAGATAATGTAGTACTACAGTAGAGTTCAACAATCGTTTTTACTGGGAGGGTATAATATAGAGATGCGAGATTTCGGCTGGTACCATAGTGATCAATCAGTTGGCAGCATAGTAGTGTAGCGCTGAAATGTCTCTTCATGTCACACTTCTTAGCAATCGCTATAGTTGCATTGCATAATAAGCGTACACCTTTTCTACAATATATGAAACTAAGTTGTCCTTTCCACTCAACATTAAACTGTTATGTCTTCTGCTTCTTGTTTCCTTTTTCCACGGCGGTATTCTGTTGATCATTCGAAATACAAAATTTGTGAAATAACAATTTATGTACGAACTGAGTTACGGATGTAAAGGGTATATCACCATGGATGAAAAGCGTACGCTAGGATAATAGCGATTAAAATTGTTCACTGTATGCCGAATCCAATGTTTCTAGCAGTCAAAAGTTATTCCATCTAGTCATGTAGTACTGTCTGTAAGATTCAGATTCTGTCAAAAGCTTAATTGTACAATTCATATAATTGTTAAACTGGCAAAGAAAAATGTGAATTTTTGCTAAAATTATTCATGACAATTACGAGTGTTTGTTGTCCAGATGTCTGAAATACAGAATATAGATAAAGTTCCCTTTCTTTTCGTGCAATTCTAATGGCGAGCACCATAAAAATCATTGCATTCAAAAGCCATTTTTCATCGATATAAATGAGATTAATCACCTTGCATACAAAACAGAAGAGGAATTTTTTATTCAGCTAGTCGATTGATTTAAACTTTAAACTTCAATTTCCATAAAACTCCTAGACTGAATCCTTAATCGGAGTTAGTAATTAATTTCCTTCCAATTTCTGAAATTGTATCAAATGTTTTTCTGCCATTTAGCACCACATAAATTATGTCAAACGATGTTTTCAGCTTTGAATGTCATTAAATCCAAATATTGTTCAACGCAGAATAACGCTGAATATGTACTACGTCTAGTAGTGTCAAATATTGTGGCAAGATTTAATTTCTTATTCAGCAATAATTACCAAAAATTGTCTCATTAAAATGTAATTTTCTTTCATTACTTTTTGTATATTTGAAACAAATCTTACAACTACTATTTATAATATGTATATTGTTTGACAAACAAATAAATTATTTTCCATTAAATATATGGGGTCAGCAAAATATCACGATGATAAAAAGGGGTCATAAAGGAAAAAGGTTTAAGAAGCGCTGCTATACAATAAGGTAATAACCAAGCATGTAAAAATCCAAACTCAATCTTATCTTCTTGTTTAGCTATGTTAATTAAATAAAAATAGTTTATGAATATTTTAATCAAACTACTCCTCAGCTAACGACAGTGGACTTTCACCTGGAGAATGATTGCGACAGGGACTATGTTTCAATATCCACCGGTTTAAAGTTTCAAAGGCTGGGCAAATTCTGTGGCGATCATAATCCACATCCAATTACAGCAACGAATGAAGATCTGATTGTAAAATTTCATTCTGATGAGTCTGGGTCTGCCCCTGGCTTTTGGCTGACAACATCAAAGATACAAAGAGGTTTGTTTCAGAAATAATTCACTTCATTTATTCCCAACTTGAAAGTATTTTATTTTCATAAATATGTGACATTATACTTGTGCTTGTATGCACACAAGCATTGTAGTCAAAATTGGCGACTGGCAATGCATTGTGATTAAAATCGGAAGAAACATGGCTTATGACAAACGGGGAAGCGTTACCGCATCTGTGAGCCATAAGACCTGGAGCACCTGAGGTAGAATTCTGACTTTTTTCCAAAGCTTCACCTGCTTGCTTTAGCTGGGCGTATGGAATGCCCTTCACCCCTAGGGTAAACTAAAGAAGATCTAGGCTCCGGACGTTCCTCACCCATTCCACTCACTGACATCCCCTCGCCACGATGGGGCAGGAAAATTAGGCTTAAGAGACAATTTACATTTGATATAAAATAAACGATTCAACAAAGATATTTTTTATTTTCTTAAGAAATTTGCTCCCAGTTCGCAAGCAACTTCATTTCTGGAGCTACCTTCTCCGGAACTGAGTTCCAATATTCTCTTAGAAATTAGCGATAATCAGTTGGAAGTGAATTTCAAATTATTTAATATGTAGAAAAGAAGGTAAATAATTAAAATTTGCTATAATAACTATTGATATTTTGAATTGGAAAAATAGAAATAAATGCGTGCAATATTTCACATTAAATTACGCAGTTTTTTAACTTGAATGACGACAAAATATAATGGATACATGCGACGCAGTATTGAAAAAAATTAAAATGTATGTAGTATTAATTTTATTTAGCATTTATTTTTCATTACTTATTTTATTAACTTTTTTCAATAACTAGACTTCTGAACATAGCGTAACGTTTCACGAAGTTCCTAACCCGAATGTTACTGCTGATTTGTACTTTTATAATTTATTTAAAGTAAAAGCGTTCATAAATAACATTAGGTCAGCGACTATCAATACTATGAGGTTTTTCAATGGTATTCCCGAGCTAATTTTTATGAATTAATTTAAGCTTCAATAAATTGTTAGATTAGTGACTACACCATGGATGCTGGATTTAGACATCACTGTTTTGAAATTAAATTCCATTCTATGTGCATAAGCCTTCTGGACGTTGTTATGTATGCTTGAGAGTTTTGAATCATTTATCTGAGCCATTCTAGATTAGAATCTATGATCAGTATCCCAATGCTTTATGCGCTGTTACGAGTCCTTACAGTTTATATGTTGCGCAGACTAGTGAACTGATTTTAAAAACCGTTTTCTGATGCCTGACTGATTGCTTATTTTAGGTTGTGGAGGCATAATCAGTATGACAGATGGAACTATCTCATCGCCTAACTACCCATCCCACTACGGAAATAATGAAAAGTGCATCTGGATCATCGAATACTTGCCTGGCGATAATGTAAAGCTCGAATTCCTGAGCCGCTTTGACATCGAAATGAGCAATGTTTGCGATAAGGATTATTTACTGGTGAGTACGGAACATGGAAATCACACTTTGATGAAAATCAAAATATATACATGTAATATATGCATGTATACATGTAAATTCAAAATTGCTAAATTTTAACTTCCTCTTCCTATATCAAAAATGCTAATACGTGAATTAAAAATGCGTCATCTCAAAATTAATCCGTTCCGTGTTTATGTAATCATGCTGAATCGCGACGTTCTTTCAGACAATATTAAAGAAATTTTTGCCTATATCACTGCTGATATTACGTAAGCCGTTTTTCCTTTCACTACTCCGCTCGCTGCTGCTTATACCAGTCGTTTTGCCGCGCTGTTTCTCCACTATCAGTGTAGTGCCTGGTCCTCCTAAACTTTAATCTTAAAATTAAGTAGCGCCTTGTAGGTGGTGGAAAAGCTAGTTGAAAATTAGCTTAGGGAACGTTGAAGAGCAGGACGGAAAGAGATGTTGAAATTAGAGAAAACAAAACTAGAAGTTACAAAAACGTAATTGGAAATTACTAAAAATGTAGCAGAAGCTACAAATTACAACAAAGGTGTGATCGACAAGCTAATTCTAACTCGTTAGAAACCTTTAAAAGGATTAAAATGTTATTCCTAGCAGTACCGATTAAGCCTGAAATGCGGAATTCAATTTTCATCGCACTTTGAAAGAGCGTTTGAAATGAAACAGGTGAAGAAAGACTTAAAACAGAAAATTTTACTTAATTTCTCTGCCAAGGGGCGTTACCAGTTTATCTAAATGCGGTAGAAATGGAAGGCTACCGAGAAGATAAAACGATTGTTAAAGGAATTTCAACCAACCTCGGAAGTTTGTTTAGAGAATTTTCTTTCGACAAAGACGGACGAAAACTGAAAATCATGTACAGTTCGGGAGTAATTGCAAATTGGGGTTTTTATTGTGAGCATAAAAAAAAAGAGATTTTGAAGTGTTGACTGAATTAATCGTAGCTGAGAAATTGATGCAAATAATTGATCACGAGATAGTCATGCATATAAAAGTAAGACAAAATGATAGTTGGTTAAAGCCCGTGGAAATTGGAAAGGAATTCAAAACGTTCTTGTTGTTTGACTTTTGAATTAGTTCTTTCCTTGCAAAAGAAAATCATTAACTGATTCTGGTAGCTTCTCTCAGAAAGCGCCGAATACTGGAATCAAAAATTTTTACTATGTATCGTTTCTAATGCGAAAGCCGCATGATTTCTCCCAAACGCACAAAAAGTTTTAAAAATTGTTATATTTCTAGATTTCTCCAACATATAAAGTTTATAAGAAAATTTTAAATGTTAAAAATCAAAATAAAACTGATTCTAAAAGTAGCAAGTTGCAGAAAAAATGACGTTGTTGTAGCCAGATCAACACCGAGTACACTGACAAGAAATAAGTCGAAATTCAGCCTCTGCCAATATGTGAAAATACTAGTCCAAAATAAATAAGCAGATGCTCATAAAAATCAGTTTAAATCTACATTCATTTAAGAAATAGAAGTGAAGTTAATAAAGTTATTTATATTGTTGAAAGCTGATAATACCGATATAATAAGTTACTCGGTAACATAATGGTAAACCGCACATTGAGCTGATCAATGTTACGGATTTCGCTTTCTGCGCATGTGCAATTGTGTACCTTTGGCGTGAGAGGAAATACTGGCGATTAAGGGCACAAGCAATCCTACGCAAGCCTATTCTTCATGTAGCTCTTATCGACTGTTTACAATTGTTTACAATTGCAATAGTATGGATATTTGTTTGTGCTTATTGAATTTGCTTTGTTGCACTTCATTTTGGTTTATTTTATTCATAAACATTACATTTATTCAGTTACTTATAATAATTTCTTTGACTTTATTCCAGCATTTTAAACTGGATTTATTTCTTAATTTGTTAAAGTATATACGAATAGAACGTATGGTAAATACTCAGTTGCTTTTATTCCTCAGAAGTATAATCAATAAACATTCAGCCAATACATCTTGTAATGTTTCCTGTTTTGTAATCCTCCTTAATTAAAATTTGCGTAGTTTACAATCGATATTTACACTCCAAGTAATTAAGCAACTTACAACCCAACCAAAATTAAAACCCTAACCTGTTTACGCGCAAATAACACAATAATCAACCAAATACCGTATTTAGCTTCTTTTAAAATTGCGCCAAATTCTCTTCTGGGCATGCGCAGAATGCGAAATTCGTTTAACATTGATCAACTGAATGTGCAGTCTGCCCGGTAGACATTTTGACGGCACTGACTGATTGGTTGAAAGTGAATTGTTTACTACCGGTACAGACCTTCGATTCTTGCGCAACGGATAGCGGTTTTTCAAGGGAAACAAAATTGTAAGGTGAACCGGAGAAATGTTTAGATTACGTAGAGCCAAATGCGCCTGAAATGAATATACCTTCCTCATATGAAGAAACCAAAATGCAAAATGGGGGCGATAAGTATGTCAACACGCATTAAGTTACAGTCCAATACATATGTTGGAAAATGTTCGTCAAAGTGACTTAAAACAGGGAAAAGAATATTTTATGGGAGTTTGTAATCTATTTTTTCATAAGCAATGGGAGATTCAGTTCAGCAACTAGTGATTCCAGAGAGTCGAAGAAAAGATGTTTTAACTTATCACATTAATGTGTTTTTGGGCGTCACATGGGAATAAAGAAAACAAAAAGTGAAGAAGAGATAATAATTTTTACTAATACATTATGGTTAAAACTATTACAGAATATTTCCATTCATGCTAATCGGATGAGTTTAAAAGTATCGAAAAAATGGTTACAGGCGAAAGCATCGTTGTACAATACATTGTAGGAGGAAAAAAAAAAAAAAAAAAAACAAGGAAAAAATATCGTGGTATAAAACATTGTCGACGAAAATTAAGCTTTTTAAAAACATCGCAGTTTTAAAACTTCGTCGTAGAAAATATCGTGGTAAAAAATAAAGCACCTTTAAATCGCTGCATAACGATAACATCGCAGACTTGTGTTTTTCAGGATTTAAAGGTTATAAATGCATATTCTCATACTGTTTTGTGAGCGCTAGAAGGAATAAGGAATATATTTACTTACATATTTCACATTTTTTAATTAACTAATAAATTTTTGCTGAAAACGCAAGAAGGAAATAAGCATTCAAAAACTGAAAATGATTACTAAATTAATGCTACGCGTAGCAGTTAATAGAACTTATGTAGTTAACTATCAAAGGTTTAATTCATTTCTTTTATGAAGCTGTACTGGAATTTTTCATAAAAAGTAGAGTCTAAATATATCAAATAAACAAAGTGAAAAAAATTATTTTATAATTTGATAATTAATTAAATAGTTTTAATATAGGCAACCCCATTTAGTTAATAATTCTCCCTTTTCTAATCGTTTTTAGACTGTATTTTTTATGAAAACCTACCACAGCTTTATAAAAAAAAGATTAGTTGAATAATGGCTTTAACTACATAAATTTAAAATTCCTTCAACTATTATAACTAGCATTAAATTCGATTCATTTTCAATTTCCTACTGCTTAAGTTTTCTTCTTGTTACTTAAGGAAGAAATTAATAAGTTTTTCAAAAATATAAAATATATAGGTTAAAATATTCCTCTTTCCTTCTAGCGCTCACAAACCATTATACGAATATAAATTTACAGCTTGCCTGAAATTAAAACCTGAATTAATTAAATCTTGAAAACACGACTGCTATGTTATCGTAATGGATGATTTGCAAATGCTTTATTTTTTTACCACGATATTTTCTACAACGATATTTAAAAACTGCGAAGTTTTTGAACCGATTTATTTTTGACGACCATGTTTTATACCACGATGTTTTAGAGCTGCGATGTTTTCGCTTTGCTTTCTGTTCTCCCAGGATGTATTGTACCAAGATGTTTCTATCTTGCGTTGTTTTCTCCGCAACGTTTTCTTCCGTGATGTTTTCGGCGTACACCGAAAAAATAACCAATAGAATTTCTATTACCTCAGTTCTACCTCCATTACAAAGAAACCGAACGATCAACAGATCAGTAAAGCCAAATTCTAACTTTTGGCCTAATTAAAGTAAATTTCCCTTTGCAGACTTATATTCTCTAAGGAAAGCATTGCAGGCCAGAGTTCTTTTCTTTAGCACGGAGCATAAATAGGAATCTATTTCATCTTAGCCGGATGTTGATTGTTTCCATGCCGAGCTTCTAAAATCGCTAAAATGTTGTACTTTGTTTTGTCATTTCAGAAGGCATATTTTTTTTACAACACATGACTATTTATTGAAATTCATGTTTAATAGAATACGTTTATTCTGCGATTTTCAATTTTTGTAATATTTATTGCAGATCGAAGACTATGATGATAATAACGAAACGTGGGTATTCAAAGCACGGAAGTGTGGATTAACGCGACCTAATCCTATAGACAGCAAAGGATGGAAGATAAAAATTACTTTCCGTTCCGATTCTGAGATAACTGGCCATGGTTTCAATATTCAGTACTCATCAGGTGAAGATAATTTTGCGATCTTTTAGTTATCCGTTATTTTTTGTTTTTATTGCAGGTTGTACAGACATTTTGATATTAAATATAGATCTAGATAGATAGATAAAGATAGATCTAGATTTAGATCTAGATCTGGCGATGCAAAGAAAGTTTCAGTTAAGGAGTTTATGTTTATGACAGTGCACTGGAAATTCAAAAATAAAAAAGGGATAAATAAAGTGTTAATATCAAACCTTCAGGACAGAATTTAAGCTTGCCATATTAATAGAAGAAATTTTATTTCATACCCTCAAAGATTTTCAAAAAATAAAATTTGACAAAAGCAAAAACACCAATCTACTTCGAAACTGCCACTGCATTCTTTGAAAACGTAATATCAAAAGCAAGAAATGCATATGCACCTCTTTAACATATTCCTAAAAATTCCACTGACTTCAATCTATTGATTATTGTACCTTTGGTCTGCTGACAAAGAGGGTTCTGTGAGAAAACTTATCAAGATAGCTGGATTCTGTAAAATATTTAAGCGGGTAATTAAGGCACTATCCGTTGAAATTTTACTTTATTAATTTTTATGTCCTGGAAAGCACGATGTTAACTTATAATAAAATTATCAAAATGAATATTTCAATAATAAGTTTTTACATTTTAAACATTAGTTAGATGTCCCCGCATTAGGTCTAAAACGTTTTAACAATTTGTATATGCTCACATGCCGAAAAGAGAGTATCGAGGTGATCGAAATAACGAAAGTTCTTCATACTGGCAGATAGTTATAAAATGGTTAGAGCATATCATTTCATGTCATATTACGCAGCAGTTATAGTAGCATATATAGCAGTTATAGTAATAGTTTTTTTTCTATGGTCTCTTATTGTATACGATCGTGTAATGTTTGCACCCTAACTTACCAGATAAAATTTATACAAAAAAAAAAAAAAAAAAAAAAAAAAAAAAGGATCCACACAATGTCCGCACCCAAAAAACTAAAGAACTTCATACTTTAAAATATATTTTTTAACATCACCTTTTCCCCTTTAGTCAATAAACATCTTTAAAGAAAGAATATGCATTTGTTTTGTCTTTGGTTGGCGCCAGGATGGAAAGCAGAGACTTTCCTTGCATTCTAATGCAGCTGTTATTCAGTCATAACATCGGCGCCAGCAGTCCACTCGGCAGACGTGATAGTAAATGAAGGCAGTCCAAATAGGTTTTCACCAGACTGGCTTCCAGAAAATACTATTTTGTAATGAAGCTACTTTCCTCTTCTTCCTGCTTGGAGCATTCGCATTTTCAAGCTTTCTCTTTTCGTTCAAAGTATCATTTGGAATTCGTAAAAGTTAGCTAGTAGCGTGCTTGAAATGAGAAATACAGCAGCTATACGGCGGCTTTTAAACTGAAAGTCATGGAATTTGCTCAGGAAAATGGGAAAAGAGCAGCAGCAAAAGTATATAAGGTGCACGGAAAGAGTATATAAGTGCACGTGTTGGAGCAAACAACGTGATCAACTGGCGGCAACGAACAAAGCAAGACGTCCGTTTCGTGGTTCGAATGTAAATTTCCGAACTTAGAAAAAAATTTTATTGCGTATGTGCGTGATATGCGGGCTCAAGTGTAGGCAGTAACACGAAAAAATGTGCCAAATAAGAGCGCTTGCTGCGAACCGAGAATACATTCCTACATAGCAATTCAAGGCGAGTAAAGGCTGGTTGCGGCGAATGATAAAACGCAATGGATTTTGATACAGTGCGTCAGAACAGATTCTTTTCTAAAAATAATGTGTGCAAGATATTAAAAGAACCAACGTTTATTTAATTTGTATAAAAGTAAATGTTAAAACTGCAAGTGTTGGTTAATTTTGTGCCTCTATGTTGTCTGTTGTGCTCCTGTGCGAACTAATACGTGCTGACTGTTGATCACATAAACGGGGTAATTTAATGTGGATATATGTGGATATTTAATGTGGATGTATATGTGGATGGGAGAAAGTGAGTTTGTACATTTTAGGTAGCTTATTAGACAACTTTAAATTTTATACTTTTATTACGTATGGCACTTTCTTCCACTTAGAACTTAACTTGACTGTTTGAAATGAAATTAACTCCCAAAATTACTCACGAGAAAAAGCGCGACATTTGAAGGACCCGTGTAATGTCCGCACCTGCATTTTAGCGATGTAATTTTAGTAAAAACGTGCGGACATTACGTGAGCGTATACGGTATTCTGCATTGGACTTTAATTAAGGAGACAAATTTCGTGCATATGTATATTTTTCTAGAAATATTACTCTTGATTATGAAATAAAGACTACAAGACAGAAATAAGTAAAAACGAATTATAAAACACTATATAAGTAAGAATAAAAGCTTTATGGTTTCGTGAAACTAAAATTATATTCTTTTCCTTTAGGCTGCGGGGGTAATTTTACAAAGAGCAGAGGCCAGATATTTTCTCCTTATTATCCTTACATCTACGAAAATGTCATCTGCAATTATACCATTGGGAAAGCTGGGCAGTACATAGGAATACAGTTTGATAATTATATTAGTTCCCATAATGAAGAAAAAGGTAAACATATAATTATTCATTTTTCTGTTGTCTCTTTTCATGTATAAAGCGACTGTACTTTTTATTTTCTTAATTACGTAATTTTTTTGCATACCAATTTGGTTACCAGTTAACAGCTGTTTCTCATTAATATTGTGCATAACTTAAACATACAGTATTCTAATTGCCCAGATAATTACATTAAATGATTCTATCTCCGTCTCTAAACACAACAATCGCAGCACCATTAGCCTTTACGCAGACTCACTGCTTGCTAAAGTTTATAGTCAAGATTGACTTGAGTCTGATTTTAAGAATTAAAAATCAGAACTTTAACACTACGAAGTAAGAACAATAAAATTTGGAAGATGGAATACATCGGCATTATTTTTATATGCAATATTTCTCCATCATTAACTATTTCGCATTTCAGCACTGAGAGCTCACCAGTGGCCGAACAATGAGTGAGTGAGTGAGTGAGGTTATTGGCGCAAAACCAAATATGATTATAACACGCCAAACGCGAGGTGGGATGATCAAAATTGATGAAATTAAAATACAATAAATAAAAACAAGTAGATAAATGTACCAAATCCAGAGGATGAAGTCATATAAAAACAAGTTAAAAGCACATATTAACATTCAAGACACAGTCTTCAAAACAAATTACATTTGGTAATAAAAAGCCAATCTCTTTTAAATAATAAAATAAATTAGAATTGACCTCTCTTCCGATTAAACGGTCGAGAGGTAAGTCACAGCTATTAAAATATTTCTGGCGAAGACTATTAAAACATTGACACTCAATTAAAATATGACGAACAGATAAACAAACATTACAATTAAAACAAACAGGCTCATTTTCAGCTTTAAGAGATAGCTATGTGTGACTCTGGTGATGACCAATTCTGAGTCGAGTCAAAAGAACGTCCTCTTTACGATTTCCAGCAAAATCCCAATGCTCAATTCTAGGTTTTACATTTCTCAACTTGTTGTGAAGCTGAACGTCCCAAATTTGCTGCCATTTTTTTCGTATCTTTCCCTTGATGACAAAGCAGATGTCTCTAAAAGGGATGAGGCGACTGGACAGTTCAACAACAGATTTTGCTGAGATATCTGCAAGCTCATTTCTCTTTATTCCCGCATGCCCAGGAACCCAGCAGTACAGAACTTCATATCCTCGAATCGTGGCCGAACAATAAACTAGCTGTATACTGGTGATTCGACTTGGTCTAAAATCCTGGCAAACAAGCTTGCTGCATGGGAGGTTTTGTGGTTTTTCTCGATGTATAACGTAAATATGATCCAATTTTCCTTAAAAGATGCTCCACGAAAATTCTCCTTAGGTAGATAATCTTAGCTTTTTCGTAATCCAAATGAATAAACTGTTTCAGAGCTGAAGATATAGCAGAGAAATTGTTCAAACTATTGGGAGTTCGTAGATACAAGAAAGCCTAGCTCATTTGTATAAACCTAGCTCCTTTTGAATGGCCTAGCTCATTTGCATCATTTGAATAAACATTTTAGTTCCCAATGTGCTGGTGAAAAAATTTAGAAGCCCGAAGAATTTTCCGAGTTAAAAAAATGTACATTATTTCCTTCATAATAAAGCCACGGATGTATTATTTCAGACAGAATGTGGACATCCTCACATCATGGTATTTTCCATATGCCTGTATTTGTGCATCATTCGTTCTTTTTTTCAGTGAGGTTTCGTAAATACCTATCACTGAATCATCTTTTATTTTCTCGCTTTTCTTACATTCAAAGCACTGCATATTAAAAGCTAAATATCTACATACAGTTTGCAGCAACATTTCGGAAAGCATTCATTTATGCTTCTAACCACATTTCAAAAATTAATTTAAATGCTGATATTAATAAATGATACATTACTTGAATGATAATTTTATAGATATGTAAGGCATTTCTCCCGCCTTCCTAGCGTGCCATCGTGGTGTAGTGGTCAGCACACTGAGTCGGTATTTCAGAGGTCCGTGGTTTGATTCTCGGCGAAGGCGTTGCTAATTTTTCCTCTCTTCTGCTTCCAAAAATTCCCTAATGTCTCTACAGATAGTTCAGAAAATTTTAAAGTTTAATACAACAAACTAATTTTAATATTATATATAAGAAAATGGAAAGAAGCCATAAAGTCAATATGAACGTATTATTTGTATAATATACATATGATTACAACATACATATGATTTCAAACTCAAAGGATAAAAACAAGGTAAATATTACAAAATATCAAATATTTCGCATTATTCATTTAATTTACAACACGTTTCAAATTATGTAATACTTAATAGGAAAATTTTTGTTTTTAGTTGAGAGTGTGTATCGCTTCGGCATAATGACTTCAGTATAAACTTTCATCTTCAGCTAATTCTAATTTTATTTATTGGATTCCTTCAACCTGCGCTTCTCAATACCCTTTTGGTTTACGGCTCATTTTTATGCAAAATGAAATGCTCAACTCCCTGGAAATCCTTAACGATACTAATTTTAAAAGTGTGCAAGAAAATAAACCAATGATGATGACAGTGCGTTATTTGTATATTAATGAAATTAAAAGTAAATACACAGTTTTTAATTAATTATATGAAGGATATGAATACGGACTAAACTAGTAGCAAAATAAATTTAGTGAAAAGGAGAGCTTTACAAATATTACAATTCTTCAAACAAAAACTCGAACAAAAATTTGTGTTCTTTTTTAAAACGTCAAGGAGCCAGTTTGCATCAAAATTTTAAAAATCATTAATTTATTCTTTTTGAATTATTATTTTTAATAAAAGGTTTCCTCTTTTTCAGATATTAAAATTAGAAGAACTATTTTAAATGCTTGCTAAACAAACTGTATATCAGTTTTAACAGAACAGTTTATTAAACCTTAATTCAAATTTAATTCAGCTTTTACAAGTTTGACAGTTTTATACTTAATGGTATTTTAAATTCAATAACATTACTGTGACATTTTACAACTTTTGAACAGTATTACCAGCTGCGACAAACTAGTTATCGAAACCCTATTAACTGTCAGTTCGCTTGTAAGGATCTTAAGTTTTACTAACGTTTATTTTATTTTAAATCTTTACTATCACTTCTTATTTTCTACTTCCGGCCAGAATTATAAGCGTTAAGGTTTTTATGCAAAGTTTGTCTGGCGAACGCCAAGTATTAAGTTGTGGCTTTTGCCAAGCGGAGAGAGGAAGCAGTTGAGTCAAAGCAGGCCGCTTACCTTAGAAGTTACGCAGTTGCTGTTTGCCTTCCAGGCCAGAGGTTTTAATCCTCTTGATAACTTTTAAACGTATTGTAGTGTTCTCAGTTATCTGTACTACATACGCCTTCCTGTTAATATAAGGCCAATCTTCCACGTTTATTATTCTAAAGTTAAATTAGATTTAGTTTTATTTTTATACCTTTACGTTAGACCCGAGTAGCGGTCGTGTATCCCGAGTACGGAAGTTATTGTATATAGAGAAAAAAAGGGTTTTTGTATACCCTTCGTCTGTATCCTGTCTACTTACCACAATTAGTGAACATGCTTTAGTAAGCTCTCTGTTCCGAGTCAGGTCCTTGTATGTTCCCGAAAAGGTAAGAAGAACATTGACCCGATAGTGGCGCCCAACGAAGAAGAATACCATAGCCGAGTTTCAAGAAGAACCTGTGCTGCCTGCGAAACGGCTCAGAATCCAGAAATGCCAGCTGCCGCCCTGGAAGGATTTGGTTACATCGTCCAGACCATGCGCGCTTCGATGAAACCAGAAGCAACATTTAGGGAACTCACCGGTAACCATTTTTTTGGAAAATTGGATGACCACTTCATGCTCTACCCCGTGCACGAGTTTCAAAAAGTTACCTAGCTACCAGCGCTTGAGGGGCCAAGCGCTTAACTGGTTCAAATGTATAGGCAGAAGTCCTTGGTCAAGCAGGAAGTCTCACTATACTACGAAATTTCAAGACTGCCCTACTAAAAGCCTCCCTGTTGTAAGGGATCGTGCGAAATTAGAAACGGGAACTTTCAGTATAATCAACAAAGAATCGAAAACCTCTCGACTTTATTTTAAGAAAAATTCACGTTTTCAAACTCTTGTAGGAAACCGTCCGGATCCTGAATAATTCAAGTGATTTTGCCGAGGTTTACTGCCCCAAGTGCAAGACTTTATTGAATTAAGAATCCGACTACACTGGAAAAGTTATTGAGCTAGCAATCCAGTTTGAAAGTCGAACGGCGGACGTCGAAAGAAGACGCCAGTATCAACAGCGAAACCAATTTGGTACGCCAAGACTACAGCATACTCAACCACATGCTACGAGAAAAAGCGAATCAGTGGGCAAGGAAACCCGAGCATTCAAAACAGCCGGCGAACGTCGACAGTTCAATAGCAACCAGGAAAAAAGTCTCAAGGCCAGTGGAAAAAGAAGGAAAGCACGGAAAGGAAAATATTTAAACTAAAAACGGATTTCCTGCTGACGGAGGGTGCGGAAATCCGAAGGCCACGAAACCCCTCTTCCTACAAGTTAAATACATAATGGTGAAAATTTGACTCTTCCGAAGATTGAAGTCTTGGTGAATAATATCCCAGCCACCGCACTCCTGGATACCGGCGCGCAGTGTTCCTGTGTGGCAGAAGTTTTTTTTAGGAAGTATTTTCGCAAATACCGGCATATATAATGGCGGATAATACGACAGTGTTAGCGGCGCAAGGAGAAAATATAAGTGCGTAGGTAAAGTACCATTTGTATATCCGTCAAGGACGACAAGTAAAGGTGTGTTTTTTATAGTAAAGAATTGGCAAGCACACTTAATCCTAGGAATAGACTTTCTTTCAGACGCACAAGCTACACTGGATTTTAATGAAGCGTCTCTCTTAAGCTGACGATGAAAACCAGTGCGTGTAGAAAAGGTTGAACCGCCAAGGTTAAATCTCGACCACCTGCCTAATGACGAGCAAGATAGAATCCGACAAGTGGCAAGTGAATTTGCTTCCTTATTTAGTGATATTCCAGGATTT